GTTAAAGGAGGAATGGAGACGTTTACCCCAAGAACTCCTGGATAATCTGGTGCTTAGCATGGAGAGACGATGCCAAGCAACAATTACAGTAAGGGGAGGTCATATCCCATACTAGAGAACATCTGTCAGTTGTACTTACGCTTCTTCAGGCAATCATGTGTAACGCCACTATATGTAAAATAAAGACATTTTTTGTTCCATACCCTACTTTAAGGTTTATATTCATTTCTGCGCCGTTATTCTTTTACCATCGTTTAAGTACAAAATAATGTACATCATATTCAAATTTCAAGTCAATCGGATGATTCCTTGTAGAGTTATGGCAAAAAACGCACTTGTTGCTTAAGTTTTGCACACCAGTGTAGTTTGTTTTCATTATAAAATAAGAGGAAAACTACAAAATTCATACTTTTTATGAAATTTGTTAGAGAGTGAATTAACTAACTGTCAAGCCAATGATTTAAAAAAATAATAAAATATATTCTTAACAGCCAACAGGCTGCAGCTGCTGTCAATAACTACAAATTAATTGAGATTGTCTAACGAAGCTAGGAGCCGTTCCAATGTGAGCAATCTTCCCCAAAATCGTAACAATTAGTCGCCCTGTACTAGAATGAAGCCAATTGCGATATAATTTGTATTAGACAAAAACTTATTTGTTCAAAAGAAATATTTGATCTTTTAAACAAATATATTATTAAAAAAAATTGTTTCATTAATCGGCATTAAATATTTTGACCTATATTTAAATGCATGTTAAATTCTGTATAATTGATCGATGGTTGATGAATTGATTTAAATATATATTTATCTATGTATATGTAATTTAATTTATGTGCTGAATTAATTATATATAATGAATCAGTTAAAAACGTAAGATTACTCCTTAAAAACGACTACTAAAGATTACTAACATCTAAAGTCAGATTACTAGAGATTAAGATTACTAACATCTACCATCTAAATCAGAATGCTTATGACTGATTTAATTTTCTTTGGGCAAGTGATTATTAAAACAATATCAACAAAAAAAAGATAAGAAAAATACGATTCACTACAAAATGAAGAAATTTGTGATAGCCGCTAGGTGATCGCAGGCTACCTATTGGTAAAATGGTTGCTGTCTAATTTCTTTTTTTTTTAAACGAAACTTCATTGAGTTTTCACCTTGGATATCTTTAACTGTTAATCCTGAACTGCTCGGTACACAATTTCCCACACATATTTAAATGCAGCTTAGACACATTCTGTGTAAATTCTTTTGATGACTGAGTAGACATTGAACAGCCAATCAAGATCAATATTAACATTTTTGGATTGGTACAATGGTGTTTAATGGAGATTGTAAGCTGCATCATGCACTCGTTTCGGATTCACAAGTTGAGACATGAAATATGATTTGAAAGCTTGTTTTTTTTTTCAAATTTACATGAATAGTGAATGAACCATTTATATTGCGTGAAAGACTGTCTACAGTTGTGAGCAAGTCATTGGGTACGTTGACAATGGATCCTTTTATCCTTAACACTGGTGATCTCGTATTTGCATGAAGGGGTTCGGAGTGTCGCCATTCGCTAGGGTTCAATTCTTTCAACTACTTAGGTACTTTTGTGAGTTATGGGCTACATGCTTGTGTTTGCAATCGGAATTCTTTCCTTTTTCCGTTTGTGTTATGCTTAAGGTATTCCCGTCTACGCTGTTTGACTTTGCCTTTTTCAGCCTCGGAAAATTTAGGCCTTGGCAACGCTTTTTTCTTGCTGCAACTCTAACCTTCGGAACCATGTCAATCAGTTTGTGATCCTCTTTATTTGTGATATTCACCTGAATTAGTATTGAAAACGATTCACTTTGAACTGTAGGTTAGAATTTCTGATTCTTATTTAAAACAATAAAATCAAAAATATCGTTTAAATTATGAAATTCTCTCTTATTCACAACTCAAGAAGTATTTATGGGATCTCTCTGACCCCATGTCCAAAAATAAACTCTCCAACTTAATGCATAAAAAAATTAAAAGTGAAAAAAAAAATAATTCTAAAAAAATTACCAAATAACAGCGGTCGCTATAGCAACGCATGCGCACTGTTTACTATTACTCTTGATTATTGCAGTTGAAAAGTGCGGACCCCATAAAACCCAAACCAAGACCCATTTTGCCAATGTGTAATAGAAGTATATTATTCTGAAAATGGGTCAAACGTCAAGGTTTATTATTCATTGAAGCTTTCATCGCAATGAATGTAAAATACTAGATTTTGAAAAAATACTCTTCAAATCTGTCTCGTTCCATTCATATTTCAGTCTATATAAATAATTTTAATTTTTTTACACCTTTGTGTTTTTGAAACTATAATTTCAGAAATATGTTTTAAAATGCATTCCCTATCTTTATGAGTCTCCAATTTTGTTGATGTAATAAAAGCATGACAATTTGATATCGTTCATTAACCTAGATTCACTTAGTTTAAAAATCAAATCAAAATGGTGATAGATTTCTTAATACACTTTTAGGTTGATTAAAACTAAAATTTCTTGTTGCTTAGACTTTATGTAAAACTATCCAGACAATTAATTTTTAAAGTTGCATCGGAAAAAAATTCGAATATCATATTTTATTATCATGATCAGAATGCGGAAAAGCGCCGTATATAAAAGAAATAACTTTTATGTAACAAAACAAATCCAGACTGTTGATCATAAATTTTTGCAATCTATGTAAATTATTGCTACGATGGCTCGGAGATTGAGTGTTAGCCTCATAATGAGGTGACTCAGCATCGAATCCCAGAGGTCGCTGGTTGATACGAACTCTGTTCCCGGCTCGCACCAATCAAAAAGCACAGTGGTTGACGTTTTTGGGGAGATTTAGGTGGATATAAAATTACTAAGTTTTAATATATTCAAATAAGAATATTAAACAGAGCGATAGCCTCCCAATGAGGTGAACCAAGTTCGAGTGGGAATTCTGTTCTCAGATCGCAACGTCCATTAGCGATGGCTGGTCGATACGAATTCTGCATCCAGCTCGCACCGATCACGGTACTGACGTAAAAAAATCCGCACTGGTAGGAGGCACATGGGCAGGAATCCCCTTGCCGTCGGGCTACGCGTAAGAAATTTCCGGGATTTTTTGCAAATGACGTTTTACAAATGACGTATCGTGACGTATTGCAAATGCGGGTTAGTTGCATCAAAATAAGTCCTCCTTGAAATCTAATTTTTCTCAATGCTTGGTTTAAAAGTCTTCCTTGTCTTCTCGATTGGGTTCAAAGGGTGGATAGTTGAGCAATGATAGTCGTGAACTTCGAATTACGTCGGTAGTTCAAAGTTGGCTATAAAATAAAATAAAGTCTCGGTGGATAGTGTGCATTCAAAACAGGACGCATTATTGAGGTTTCATATTTATTCGTCTTATACAATGTGCGCAATAACACCCAAAGTAATTTTCAGGTTTGCTTTTATTGGCGATGTAAACCAAAAAGCCTATTGGACTTAAAAATTATTTTTTGCGATTTATGACAATTGCTGTATTCTGTGCTAGTTAGTCAATTCCAAGTTAATTGGCAACGATTAGTCTTACTATTCGTTCCTTGACTATGAATTATCCAATTTTCCATTTTAATATTAACACTGTAATGTTTGAGTGTGAACAATATGCATCGTGAAACGTTGTTTCTAACAAGGGAAACTAGGGAAGTGTGACTCGCCAATTTTAAAATAAACTAGTGGGATGTATGCCTTATGAGGAATAATGTTAGGGGGAAACATTCGTTTCGGGCCATAGAAAGTCCTCGTGAGAGATAAAAAATAATTCAATTTATAGAAAAATCGGTATTTTATTACTTCAATGCAGACTATTAGTTATTGTAATTGTCTCATACCCCAATTAATTTTGCGGTACTTTCACGTACTATATAATGCATATTTATTGTCAAAATTGATTTCGAAATTTTTATGTATCTGTAGTTTTTCAGAAAAACCTGGTAGGTTTATTTAAAAAAAAAATTGACATCAATTTTTTTTACATTTTTTTTTTCAAAAAACTTTCCAAATTAATTGGAGTATGTAATTGCAAGTCAATTAATTATTTAATAATTAATTAACGATTAATTAATAATTAATTGACTTTCTGATTATTTATTAATTAGAAAATTAATTAATTATCCAATTAATTACAAATTAATTTTTATTATGAGACAATTACAATAACTAATAGTCTGCATTGAAGTAATAAAATACCGATTTTTCTACATATTGAATTATTTTTTATCTCTCACAGGACCTTCTATGGGCCGAAACGAATGTTGCCCCCTAAAATTATTCCTCATAAGGCATACATCCCACTAGTTTATATCAAAATTGGCGAGTCACACTTCCCTAGTTTCCCTTGTAAGTCTTTTATAGCTATGGTAATATTTATAGAATACAAAAATCTTTATTTTTGAACGCACGATGCATCCTCTATGGTTACAAATTTTCTTTATTTCTAAATGATGCAACTTATTAAAATATATGATTTCATTGAAAGATGAAACCAGAGAAATTAGTTAGAGGAAAAATATTAAAGACCTAATTATTTCGAAGTATTTACATTCCCTTTAATCCAATCCTAGTTTGCTTATTATCTACACAATTTTATCTACATTATTGTATTGCTTTTAATGCCATATCCCTATTAAGTTTATTATATCTATTAACTTTCAGGACATTCTTGGAGAGGTGTCGTACCACAAAGAGTCTTATTGCGGGGCAATCTGAAGCGAGAACAGTCATTTGATTCGTTCTACTGGGATTTGCGCTCATCATCTCCAAAACATGATCTCGGATTAAGTCTGGAAGATTTTAGAAGGGTGCCTTCTCCTTTCGGAAGCAGAGAGCATCTTCATCTTGCTGGGACGGTATGGGATGGTCGTGTGGGTGGACGGGGTTTCGCCCATGCATCCGATCTCCAACCCAAAGCTAAATTACCGAAGCATAAAATGCTTAAGAAACAGCAGAGTATGTTTGCTTGCTTTCCCGAGTTCATGACTCAACAGATCTCACCTCAACAGCTCATCTCGCCACAAGGACTCATAAAAGAACTTGATCAGCAAAGAAAAGTTGCCGATTTCGGGAGAATGACGCCAAAGCTGACAGCACAGAAATCACTCAGTAGGGCTGCGAGCTTAGAAGAAACAGGTGCCAATTCAAATGGTAACCCTGATGGGGACAATGTGTCTATGGTCAAGCAGTCTTCTGTGTGCACTATATCTTAATGCTTGGATTTGTTGTATAGACAGTGAAATCTAAACGCATAAGTGTTTAAAGCACATCGTGTTCACCGCACTTATTCACAATGGAAGCAAATATTTCATGGATGAATGTTGGCAAGGGTTTCCTCACTGATCTTTGATAGCCTTAACTGCACAACGAAACTGCATGCTTATTTAGCCATCCAAATGAAAGTCTTTTCAGTTATATTCCCCTTCCATTTATATAGTATCTATTTTACAGAACTCTTGTAATTTACCCCGATGATGATTTGGTACACTTTTAAAAGGCTCTTCCACTCTCTACCGAACTCAACGGTCAATGGCGAGGAAAATTCTAAAGATGATCTTAACCATCTTTATTTAATTTTAACAGAAAAGCTGATGATGGATATTTAGTCTATTTGGCAGTATCTTTCAATTCATGGAAAATACAAAGCCTCCACCCAATCACAATTTGAGATATAAAGTATGCGGTATTTTAAATTCTTTATTTACTTTTTTTCTAACAAAATTATTCCAGTACAATTTTGAAATAAAAAAAAATTGATGGATAATTGAACAGTATGCAGATTACTGCTTTTAGATTTTGATAATTATCTTTGTTTTTATTCAATTAACGCTAAAAAAAGTTTTAGCGTCATACAAATTTATTCTCATTAGTTTATAGTAATAACTATAATAAAATTAGATTTTTGAAAATTTAAAAACTGAGAAACGCATTGTTTTAAATTACTTAAAATCATTTATCGCATCACTTTATTGGTTTAAAGTATTAAAGAAAAATTCATCGTAGTCTTAACAATTATCAAGCGCTATTTCTCCTAATCTAATAGAAAAACTCCTTTTTTTTCAATTTTTTAAAGCTATTGTGTTATTTAATATAATACCAGATCTTCAAAAGTTTGTTAATTACAAAGAAATATCAAAATTATGCAAATCAAAAATTTAACCTAAAATCAAAGATGGCGAGGGTAGAAGCCTGTAAACCAAAACGCTAGATCTTTTCCGTACAAAGTATTAAATATTTGTTTAAATTTATATTTATGTCGATAGAAATAAAAGTTTATGATGTAAATGCAAATGATTTTTCATTAGAAGTAAGTTAAACTAATAAGTTTACAAAAATTTAGTTCTTAAACTATTCTGGGTTTTTACGAAATATTTATGACTCAATTGAAACATTTATCGATTACTGTCCTGCTTTCAAGAGAATTCTTCTCAGACCAAAAGTATGAAACTATTTGCTGGTTTTATAATAATAGCGAATCCATTTCTAAAGGAGATTTATTGAAAAAAATATTTTAGGTACGTTTTTCAGTTTTTAAGTACATAATTAGCCCAGAGACATCATATTTTTCAATAATTTTTGTATCTTGTATTGCTTTAAAACTTATTTTATTTTTATTCTTACATTAAAATTAAACGATAAATTTCTTATCCTTACCCGGGACGACACACCCTCAAAATAGTAATCTCCAGCATATAGTATCTCGGGTTTGGGAGAGCTTTCATGGTAGCAGGGCAGTTTGACAAACTTTAGTTTTGTTAACAGACATCAAAGATATTTAGAAATGTGTCCGGATAATTTTTTATTCGGGTTTTACAATGACCAAGAAACTGACTTACAAAAGAAAACGTATATTTTTGTTTCAAGATACGTATAGAATAGAAACAGATATTCGTTTAAAGTTAAGTTTATCATACATTATATTAGTAAGTACCCCTAATAATAGAAAAAAATAACAGTAACTTACTTTGTCGATAAACTGAAACAACAAACGATCCAGCAAAAAGAAAAACAATTTTGTAATTTAAAAAACTATATTAATGAAACGTTATTAATAGAAATTAATTTGTCGATTTATATAGATATTAATATATATACAGGGTGATAATTTTTGAACTATTTTCCTGTTTTAGATGAACTGGCATCTTCTGTATCATGAATATTCTTTTCAGTGTCGTTAATAACGTAAGCAGTGTACTGATTTCTTCTAAACTTTCGCTTTTTCTAACGAGACTTTTGTCAGTGTCCCATGGTAAGGAAACAAATTTATTAAAATGAACAATAAATCAGAAATTTTATATAAAAAAATGAAACAACGTAGGTAAATAAGTCTAACAAATACGGAATAATAAAAGTGAATAGAACAGCTTGCGTCAATCGAGAAAGATGCAAACAAACACCAATTTAACAGCATTGCCAGGCTTAGTTACTTGGTATTTTCATCAAATATTAGCTGAGGCTTCACGGTCGCATTTTAACACGGAACAAAAATTAAAAAACTGAGTAAATAGTTTAAAAGTAAAAAGAGCAAGATTAGATGCTTTTAGTTCAGTTTCAAAACACCACGTGCAGACGAAAGCTGTCAAATCAGCTCATAATGAAACAACAGTAACTTCGTTACAAGCTATCAGAAATTAATTATCTAAATATTTTCTTGAAGCTAATGAAATGATTCAAAAAAGTAAAACAATAAATCTGATTTGTCAATTAATAAAAATTGCTACTTTTGGGTTGTCGAATAAATATAAAAACTACTGAGTGCAGAAAGTTTATTTAACGTGCAAACGTCACCGCAGACATTCGGACTCAGTTTCTGACTTGCTAGATATGCCTGCCATCATTGGCGCAGACGAATAACAAAATTCTGCATAACCCCTCGGAAGTGTCGGAACATCGATGCAGTCGATACCCTCCCAAATGACAGTTTTCAACTCAGCAATGGTTTTGGGGTAATTTCTGTACACATTGTCTTTAATGCGACCCTATAAAAATAAGTCACATGTGTTCAGATCTGGAAAAATATGTTGGCCAAGCGAGAAATATGTTGGCTATATTAAAATAAAGAAAACTATGTTGGCCATATTCCAGTGGCATCTGGATCCAGAACACGGTCCCCGAAGTGCTCCTTCATTACAACAAACACTCTTTTGGTCCGATGAGTACAAGATCCGTCTTGCCGCAACCATATCTTGTCGAAATCAGGAGAACTTTGAATAACGTGGAAAAAATCATTTTCCAAAACCTTTACGTATCAGTAGTTACATTACGTATCAGTAGTTACATCAGTAGTCACCGTGCCGTCAACGAATATCGCACCGATTATTCCGTGACTGCATATAGTCACCCGTTAGAGAGACTTTTCGATCTCAAAATGTGGGTTCCAAGTCCCTCAAATGCGCCAATTTTAGAGAAAGATCCGACAACAACAAGTTGCGCGCGCATTTGCATACTATATCCCGTCATGCACTGTATACGACCACGAAGTTTGAGCTTAATCACACAAACCGATCAGAAGTTACGATGGTTTCATTTCATATAGTTCAATAATTGTCACGTTGTAAATCGATTGTATCTTTAAACTGTGTAGATTCCTAAAATTGTTATTAATGTGTTAATGTGCAAAATAATATCGATTTGTATACACCCATTAATGATACTGTCAAATAGCTTCATCCGAAAACGAGTTCCTTTTTTTAAATATTTGTTTGCAAATATTTCATAAGAAGTATAAAACGAAATTTCTGTGTATTGTTTTAAAATCTATATGGTTTTTAATTAAGGTATTGAAAAGCCTGAAAGGAAAAAAAAACTTTGCTCAATAAACTGTATCGAAATGCTAAAATTTTTTAAAAAATAATTGAAAAGAATAACAGCATTCTCAAATAAAATACAATCATGCTTGGAAAATCTATGTCTATGTAAAATTCTGTCTGGGAAATAAATCCATCTAAAATCATGAGAATATGCTCCACACATCATTACCTTTGCAATCATTTTAAATCTCAACAGAAAGATTTAGAATTTTATTCTGTGAACATTAAGAGATCGTTTTATAGAAAAATATCATTTTACTAGTTTCTAAACTAATATTCCTCATAAATCAGCTTTTTAAAGAAAACTATACTACAATTCCTCCCCACATGATGCCTAAAAGAGTACCCGCACTTAAATCATTGATTTCAATTTATGTTTTTTTTGTTGTTTCTGTTTCCTTCATCTTGACATTCACTGTGAAATGTTTGTTTTCAAATCACTTTTGACTTTCAGAGAAACGCTCTTCACTGGGGAATTTTAAAACCTCAACTCTGCTTTGGAACTGAAGAAGAACTGTTATCTTTAAATCCATATATTGCTATCTTAGATATTTTATTTGTTTTTTTTTGCGTTCATAAAATAAAATTAAACAAAACTTTTGCATACCCATCTTATTTTTTCCTTATATTTATAAGCGTAAACGAAAATGATGGGAATATTTTTATCAATTATACAGATTATCTCAAAATTATCTTTTCAAATTTCATGTATAACATATGAAATAAATATTAATTAGGTAATTTTTTTTTATTGTTTGAGCTAATTCTTTCATATTGGAATCAGAGGATTTTTTGTGAAACTGCTGCCTCACTCATGTGTCATCTCAATACATTTTGGGAAAGTACATAGTATCTCGAATGTTTGGTAAATATTACAGTAAAATGTTATTGTAAAATTTACAGCTGTAAAATTAGGCTGTTCTGTTTATTTATAATAATATCATGATCGATTATACTAATCTGATTTTAAAATTGTACAGATGTTAACTCCCCTTTATTTTGGAAAATGGTTGCTTTTAACTGATTACTTTATAAGCTCAATAGCATGTCATAAATACAAAAACAAACAATAGTGAACTTTTAAGATAATGTTCTTCTTTAGTGTTAAAAAAAAGATGAGTTTTGATCTCTGAATGAACAAGTAATTGCCACGGCCCTAAAAGACACCTAACAGTTCAAGACTTGGCTGAGTACTTGAACAAATGCAAATTCATCTGTGTTACTTCACTTCAAATTCTATGTATATATATTCATCACGACAAAGATTTACTCTATTACATGTTGACGTGTGTAAATGTAATACAGCACAGCGTATTATCTGTTATATTGCCTACGCTAATACTTATCGTTACTGATTAAACTAGTTTTTGAAGTTCTTATAAAGATTCAATGAATAATTTGGGGCACTACAATAGTGAATAACTATTTCAAACAGTTCAGAAGAGTGTTTTTAAAGAAATTTACAGATAGATAATAAAATATGTCCTTATATAGCGCTGCCATCCTATGTGAACTTGTAACACAACTTGTAACATCGAGACAATTCCAAGGAATTACTTGCTCCATGCCTTTCTAATAATAGATATTTCTTCAACTAATTAAAAAAAATTAACATTTGTGTCACTGTGGCAGATTTTAAACTATAATAATTAGTTTCATTGTTTAAATTACAAATTCAAAATTGTTGTAAATTTAATTGTTTAAGTTTCAAAATCAATTAGTAAATTTTAATTTACTGTTTAGTCAATTAAATGTTTATCCAATTATATGATGAAGTGAACAAAATTAAACTCTCGATCTCTTAATTACAAAAGTGACTAGTATACAAAAATATAACTGTACAAAAGCGACAAATATTTAAATTAAATATTGAACATTCTAATATTTGACTGTCTTTTGAAATTTCAACGAAAT